GAGAGAGGGGGAAGCAGGCTCCCCACTGAGCAGAGAGCCCGACGCGGGCCTTGATCCCAGGACCCTGAGATCATGACTTGAGCCAAAGGCAGAGGCTTAACCCACTGAGACACCCAGGTGCCCTGGCTAGCACATTCTTTCACTGAAGACAGGCAAATTATCAGAAAGCTGCTTAGTGAGTGAGCATGGAATCCGAACAAGGGGAGCAGGTTAGATGATTCAAACTCATATTGGCATTAAGTTGGGAAAGCCTGACACTGCCATTTTTGACTATAAGAATGGCCATACCAATGACACCAGAATATTCACAGACATTAGTTGAGGGCCCATCTCTAGTGGGCATTTCTTAAAAGGGCTCTGCTGAGGTCCACCACTGTGATGCTCTTTTTTCTATGCTTTCATGGCCAACCAGCCTTGTTTTGATGGCCCTTTTTATCTTTTTCTTTGCTTACACTCTCAGACTTATTTTTTCTCCTTAAGATGACTTTATACCTGTTCTGTTCTATGTAGCTGTAGAACTTAACTCTCAGAGAATAACATTATTTCTTTAGTTTACACATACTTGAAGGAGGTCCCACCAAGTTCCTCAACAGCCACACACATTATCTTCTATTCTTGTAGTTTTACCTTACTTTGTTCAAAATATGTATTTGAGGGTAACTTATCAGGGACCCTTTATCCCATCTTTGTACTATGCTAAATTACTTTCTTCATTTGTAATTTTCATCTTAATTGCCACATATTATTAATTGGCTCATTGATTGATTCTTCTTGGGCACAAGATTACATAAAAATAGTGTAAGTGGCAGTAAGGGCAATCCTGAGACAGAGTGCCTTTCTTTCCATAATGCTAAATCCCTGCTATAGTCACCTTTAGGTTATACAGAAAATACATTAACACATGGTTATGGTCTATTTCCAAGCACCTTTATTTACTTTAAAAAAAAAAAAAAAGTAGCAGGCTTAAAAAAGTGGCCTCCAGTCTATAGCTTGCTGGGCTCTGATTTGTATTATCAGCTTGGCCCAGGAAGGCACATGGGTTCACAGTCTCTAGTCTAGTTGAGGCAACATTATAGATGTAGGTGGCAAGTTTAGCACTGTTGTGCACAGGTGCTGTTTGTGTAGATTTTCAACTGCGCAGGGGTGTTGGTGTTCTAAGTCCCACTTTGTTCAAGGGTCAACTGTTCTAGAAACTCTTGGTAGATACTTTCAAATAACAATTCTCTCTCCAGGTTCTGACATGCTTCCTTAGGGGATGGCAATTCCAGATGAGCTATAGTTAATGATTCATTCATTCATGAAATACCTGTTGAGTACCTACTAAGTGCCAGGCACTGTACCATACAGTCAATGAACAAAAGTAGACAGAGGCACTCCCCTAATGAGCCTGCAATCTGAGGAGTGTGGGGGGAAGAGAAGAGCCAAACACTGATCAAATAATTATAAAGGTAAATGCAGGATTGCAACCTGTGATCAATACCATGAAAGACAGGTGCTCAGTGGTATGAGTAACTTAGCCTCTTCTCTGGGAGGGTGAGTTGGTGATGGAAGGCTTTTGCAATTTGAAGGAAGGTAAGAAAAGCTTTCATGGCAGAAGTCCTATAGAGCTGGAAACAAAATCTGTGGCTTGGGTACACAAGAGGAAAGGATGTGGTATGAAATGGGCCTGGAGAGGTTAAAAAGGAGCCCAATTATGGAGTGTTTTATAGACTGCATGGGTTTTTATCATTTCAGTCAAAGTTGGAGGGGAAAGATTGAGAACCACTGCAGAAAAAATTTCTTTAAATACCGAATTAAGGGTAAACTTTTCTTTGTATCTTTTTAAGACTTAAAAAAAACCCTTTTCCTTTTATTTCTCCATATGCTTTCTCTTTCTGAGAAAGAGAATGAATGCTTTTCTCTTTCTGACTTTTAAGTACTTAAGCAATTCCTGCACCCCGAGGTTTCTACGGCCCAGTTCATGATACTTTTTTTCCCTTTTAAACAGTCTGATGGTTTTTTGTTTTTTTTTTTTTTTTAAATTTACCTTAGCATGCCCTACGTTTTCCCTATGGCTTATTTAACATTTGACCCTATAAATATGTGTGTGCGTGCGTTTGTGTGTGTGTGTGTGTGTAATGCGTACACAGACACACATAAATATATACAGATATGTATATGTACATTTGTTAAAGCAACCAGATTAGGCCCAAGATGGAGTTCCTCATGATAAGCCCCATGTCAGCAAATCAAAACTTAATTAGTTTCTATGCTGGTTCTTCTAGAAAAGGAGGGCTTAGGTCAACCAGTCAATGCTTGCCTGATCAGTATAAGTTATCTAACCAGGCTCTAAAACTTCCCTTTGCTCCATATAGGGAAACTAACCCTGCTTTAACCAATTAGCAGATGTCCAGTAAAACTTCCTTATTCCTGCTCACTTTGGTCTATAAAAATCTCTTGACTTGTACAGCTCTTCAGAGCAGCTTTCTGTCTATCTGCTGGGCTGGATGCTACCCAATTCATGAACTGTTGAATAAAGCCAGTAAGACCTTTATATTTACTCAGTTGAATCTTGCTTTTTTTTTTTTTTTTTTTTTTTTAAAGATTTTATTTATTTATTTGACAGAGAGAGATCACAAAGCAGGCAGAGAGGCAGGCAGAGAGAGAGGAGGAAGCAGGCTCCCTGCCGAGCAGAGAGCCCGATGCGGGGCTCGATCCCAGGACCCTGAGATCATGACCCGAGCCGAAGGCAGCGGCTTAACCCACTGAGCCACCCAGGCGCCCCTGAATCTTGCTTTTTAACACACTGTTAAAAACAAGACAGCAGGCCCCAAATGGAGTCACTATTGCTAAGCCCTACATCATCAGACCAAGACACTTCTGGCTCTCCCTGAAATGGAATCTTAAATTAGTCAGTCAGGAATTGCCTGATCAACATTAGTTAAATATGCCTGATAGATCCCAGCCATCTCCTAAAGGGAAGTGATCCTGGGATCATGATCTGAGCCCAAGGCAGACACTTAACCACCTGGGCCACCCAGGCGCCCCATGATTCCCCCTTTTAACATGACTTAGACCCTTTCACGGCTCATAGTCAAGAACTCCTGTGTGGTCTAAATAAACCTCTTTTTATTAGTCATAGTAAAACCAGGGAAAGGAAGATGGAGCTGGGCCAAGCGGTAAAATACACAACTAATGAGTAAAAAAAAAAAGTAGGAACTGGGGGAGAGAAGTGAGGGGAAGAGGAGCAGTGGAAGAAAGGTAGGGAATAAATGGATAACAGGGAAAACTGGGAAGAAAGAGAGGTTAAAGAGAGTCCTCCCAGAAAGCCAGTTTGACTCAACCCTTCAGGAAGTCTGAACAAATTCCTGTCCCCACAGTGTTCAGTTCATGGTTTGTGTTAATTCAGAATTTAGACAGCCATTAGTACTAACTACTTTGACAGTTAGACTTTTGCTCCATGAAGTGTTCCACTGCAAGGGGACATAAGAATCTGCCTGTGCCTTTAGGAATTTTGTGTGGAGCTTTCCCTGTGCAGGAGTGTCCACAAATGTTATCTGAAGGGGGACTCAGGACTGGGGTCCTAAAGGAGGTTGTAGTGAAATTTCCAGTGACACGACCTCATTTCTGAACATTTTAATCTTGGCCAAGCCTCTTGTTCTGTTCTAGGGGAGCCTCTGCTAATCCAGTCATGTAGAGTTTACTACATTATTGATGAATGGAGATAGAGATTATCTCATTGAACCTCATTCTGGCTTGACTGCATTCTGTTGTGGGTAAATTAACCACCTCGTGCGTCTTTTAACTTCCTCAACTGCAAAGTTAAAATATTACCTACTCCAAAAAGGGTATTAAGAGAATGTTACTCAGTACATAAATACCTAAATGTAAGAGCACATGAAAAAGAATGAATCATGCACACAGAAAATGCTAAAAAATGTCAGCTATTAGAACTTAGATTAAAACTGTTACGACAAATATGAATGTTCCTCTATGTCAGGTTCAGACTTTGGTGTGAGTACTAATCGGGGGTGGAGTGTATTCTAAAGGCCCTTTTCAGGTGTCTGTGAAGTCAAACCTATTTTCTTAACAATTCTAAGAGGTTATTTGCCCTTTTCATTCTCATTTCTCAAGAACATGCAGAGGAATTTCCAGATCTATGGGATAAGTGCTAACGTTAACATACAGAAGCAGCTAGAGAATCCAGAGGTCTTCTATAAAAGCCATACATTAAAAAAGAATTTTCTCATTAGACTTTTTTTGGGGGGGATGGAGCCTGCTTTAAAATGTTATTTATGTTAACGTATATTAGTTATCGTAAATAAAATTCTGAAACTTTTAATTTCGAATACAATAAATACAGATATAACCACAGAAACCAAAGCTCTTCGGGGTCCTCAGTAATTTCTAAGACCGTAAAGGGAGCCTGCGAACCCAAAGTTTGAGAGCCAACGCTCTGGTGCAACTCGCGACTGAACAAGCGTGGACGGCTTGTGACCTCTACGATTTTTATTTGTGGTTTCCTGTCAGGACTGAAATTCTTCCATCTCTGCTTGCCAAGGTCCTACCTCCTTCGAGGGCATCTTGTTCTCTTCAGCACTGGTCCAGATTTCACACCCTTCTCGGTACCCTGTTTTCCGCAGGCTGGACCTCCCGGGGACACCCGGGCCTTGCACGGGCCCCTGACCTTCTCAGTCCTCTCTGTCACTCGCTTATCACTTGACTGAGACTCTCTTGAAGGTCGGGTCTTGGGTTTCTCCAGCCCGACGAGTTCCTCCAGGCACTAGCTCGGCTCAACCACATTCAATCACTAAAGGACAGTGCCTGGCGTCAACTAGGCCTGACCGCGCTCACCAGGACCAGGGAAAAAAGTACACCCGAGCCTTACCGCACAGCAAGTTCCGAGCTACCACGCCTTGAGCAGGTCTCCGCCCTCCGGGAGTCCCGGGAGCGTCCAGCCACGTAAAGGGCGGAGCCACGCGCCCATTGGGGGCGTGGCCCCCAGCGCGCGCGGGAAAGGGGCTGGCGTCGCTTGCGCGCGCACAGTCGGCGGCCGCGCGCAGCACGCTCGGGGCCCGGATGGCGGCGGCGGCTGGGAGCGGGACGCCCCGGGAGGAGGAGGGGCCCAGCGGGGAGGCGGCTGCTCCGCAGCCCCAAGCCCCGACGAGCGTTCCCGGGGCTCGTCTCTCGAGGCTGCCTTTAGCGCGAGTGAAGGCTTTGGTGAAGGCCGACCCCGACGTAACCCTCGCGGGACAGGAAGCCATCTTCATTCTGGCACGAGCCGCGGTGCGGCGGGAGCGTCAGGGCCACACGGGGTTGCGGGGCGGAGTGGAGGCCAGGGGCGGGGCGGAGGCCAGGGGCGGGGCCTCGGGTAGCTTTCGGTGGGCGGGGCGTAGCGTAGCGGCGACGGGGGCGGCTTGGGGAGGCGGGAAAGCGGGGAAGGAGGAGAGGGTCGGGACTGGGGGTAAGGAGGTGAGTGAGGTGCCGGGGTCAGATTCCGAGGGGTCAGATTACGAGACCTGGAAGACTAGGAGAAAGACGGAACACACCTGCCTCGTCGTAAGGGCTTTGGACAACGACTTCAAGTTGCATTTCGAGTGTCTAACTTAACTTGTAAGAGTGTCAAGTGAATGTGTGGGGATCTACAAGTGAGGGAGGGACGTGTCTTGGGCTACCAGGGTAGGGGGAAAGGGAATAATAGATGCTCATGAAGTCCCGGACTGAAAACCTCTCCAGAGTAGCCCTTACTCCCTTCCCATCACTCAAATAGAAGTGCTCACAAGAATTGTGCTAGAGCCCATTGATTCAATTCTCCTTGTTCCCCTCATAGGAACTGTTTGTGGAGACCATTGCAAAAGATGCCTACTGCTGTGCTCAACAAGGAAAAAGGAAAACCCTCCAGAGGAGAGATTTGGGTAGAGTGTCACTGTGGTATTCGGTATCTGGGGGTAAAGAAGGGAGGGCTGGGGGAGGTTTCCCTCTCACTGCTGGAGAAGCCATCACTGTAAGGTCAGAGGTGCCACAGGGTCTCTCCTTATGTCTTCTGTTGGACTGCCACAGTGAGAGAAAGACCTAGCTTTTAGAGTTCTATGCTTTTGAGTGGCTGGAGAGGTGGTGGGGTAGGTAATGAAGGGAGTCTAAGTGTTGCTAAAGCTAACTAGACCGCTTTATACTTTTTGCCATGTTGTACCAGGCTTGGCACTTCTTTTTCCCCTAGAAATCGGGAGTTTGATTTCTGCCTCTTTAGTTGGTAACCCCTGTGCCTGTGTAAGCTTTTGTATACCTTAATCCTGCTTTCCCTTCTGTTTTGCTAGATTCTTCTTTGATGGCTTTCAGAGCAAAAAGGTTCCCCCCACGGAACAGGGTTTACCTAGAGTTTTCCTACTTTTATAGAGAGACAGCTGATACATAAGATTTGGTGATGAAGTAGAAATGGACCTCATGACAGCAAGAGACAAAGTTTATAAATGCCCTTATTTGCATAAAGCGTCATGCCCTTTTTTTATGTGGTTTGTGTTTTTTAAAGGGGTTGATGTCCAAATGACCAGAATTAGTCAAGTGTCCTTTTACTGTGTGTTTCAGATAATGCAATAGAAGCTGTGGATGAATTTGCTTTTCTGGAAGGTGAGTTCTCTGTCAATCGGTAATCATTTCCACCTGTCTCTTCCATGTCCCGTGATCTGAGTTCAAAACCTTATAAAACTGCTACCTGGTTCTTCTTAGGGATAATTCTTTCTGTCTACTTTCTATTAAGTTGGGAAAAACTAATGTTAAATCTAGTGAGACTTAGCAATTCTGATTCTCATGGGTAACTAGAACTTTTCCCTGAAAATTGCTAATTATAAAAAATGAGAGGGTATATAAAGATCCTGGTGGGGTTAGGTGGATTAAGAAGTTTCGTACTTTGATCACCATTCCCCTCATACAATGCTATATATAATCTTCCCTTCATCATAATGCTAGAGATCAGAAACAATTGCCAACATTTAAAGGGTTGCTTCTTGCTCTTTTTTCTTCTTCAGCAATCTGTATTAAGTCATTATTTTGCCACTGGAGATTGTGTAATTGCCTGTGTCTATCTGTTCTTAAGAACTTTGGGTTAACTCATGTACTAAGTCTTGTCATTGAAGTAAAAAATATTTGAGATACTTTATTTTAGCTATCTTTTCTCGGATGGATATCTGTTTCTCTGATAATTCCTAAATCTAATCAGCTTATTTTTCCCTGCACATATTCTGATTGAATATGAGAGAGCCACGGACTTTCAGTTCGTTCTCACCTTTACAATACCGGGGCATTCTCATTATCTCCTTCAAGCCTCATTACCTTCAGGAATCCTTTCTGGATGTATTTATTTCACTATCTTTCCTTGTTTGTTCTGTATATCAGCCTGGGCATCTCACTCTTTTGATACATTTCTTTTAAATGTGTTTGAAGATACATTCCCATGGCTAGCTTTAAGTCTAGATTATTGAGTATTCTTTCAATTTGTAGATTTTTTTTTTTTAAACAGATTTTATTTATTTATTTGACAGAGAGATCACAAGTAGGCAGAGAGAGAGAGAGCGAGAGAGGAGGAAGCAGGCTCCCTGCGGAGCAGAGAGCCTGATGCAGGGCTCAATCCCAGGACCTGAGCTGAAGGCAGAGGCTTAACCCACTGAACCACCCAGGCACCCTCAATTTGTAGATCTTTCTTAACCCTTTTCTGTTTACTCATTTTTCTTAAAAAGAACTTGTTAATTGCCTCCCTGAGGAAGGCAACTTCTTGTGACTGACTTCCCATCAGTTCTCCAAACTTGTTCGGAGCCTACTGTACCTCCTCCTTTTTAATTACCAGCTTTTCAAAGGGTATACGATCAGATTTGCATTTTAAAGACTTAACACTGCAGACCTATGGATAATGAATTGGAAGGGAGATCTCAGGTAGTTTTCTACTCTGGTCTCCACCATGGCATTGTACTTAGCTTGGATTTTTAATAAATGGTCACTTATTGAGTGGTGGATGTATTCACTCATCTTTTGATTCAATAATCTCAGTAATTACATTAATCTGCTCTGCCTACATTAGAAGATCTGTATTTTGGCCATTTTAGCCATTGCAGATTCAGTCAGTATTATATTTTGTACCTGGTAAAGTAAATGTTCTCATGTCCTTAGATGTATATGCTCTAAGTAGAAAATTATTTTTTTCTTTTTTTATCAAGGCAGTATATATCCATGCTTGAAAATCAGTTATCTAATGGCTTATAATGAAAGACAGCTGCTGCTCCACACTCTTGTTGTTTTTGTTTTTAGCTTTCAGGTGGTGACTTACATTTCTAAATAATATGATTCATCCTTGATTTTTCAACTCCAGATATTATCTATTAACTTCTTGCTGTGATAAATGAAGATTTAGGTAACCTGTACTGCTCCATAAATCCTTCCTTTCTGATTTTTGGAAGTTATATCATTATTTTTAGTTCCTTTATTACTTTTACAATTTATATAACACACTAAAATATCTTTTTTTTTTTTTTTTGTTAACTCCCCACTTTGGAAGGTATGACTATTAGTGGACCCATCCTTTCCCTTCACATTTTTTAACCAACTTCTAGCTTTTACTTGGTGTCATCTATACTATACTTTGACATTGTGAAGACTGATAATGTATCGTGTTATCCTAGCTAAATCTCCCATGCTTTACATATCAGTTGAGTGTAGTAGTTGAAAAACAGTACTGTGAACAGTTCTCCAAACATGGAGAACTTCCTTTACCTCTTCTATCCTTTCATCTCTTGTAGAGGTGCCTTCCCTGCAGGCAACTGTTATTAGTCTCTTGTGTAATTTTCCAGATACTTTATGCAGATGAGTTTATGTGTGTATATTCTTTTCTAAGCCTTTCCTTATGAACACAAATAACAAATGTAAAGTCATTAAATAACAAAACGAACACCATTGCAACTGCTAGCTAGGTCAAGAGATAGAATAGTGTCAGCCCCCAGAAACTCCATATATATTCTTTTTTCATGGTAGATCTTTCCATCCCCTTTCCTGACATAACAGTATCCTGACTTTTTGCTAATTACTTGATTTTCTTTATAGTTTTACCACATATGCATGAATCCTTAAACAGTTGATTTGGTTTAGTATTTTTTTGAACTTCCTAAAAATGTAATCAGACCATTATATGTATTCATTAATCATCTTCTGTCCTGGGGCTGTTTTCTTTAGGTTAACGCATTTATGAGATCATCTGTGTGGTTGCACACATCTCTTGTTTTCTGTGCTGTGTGACATACTATTGTGTGACAGTATTACAGTTGAACCACTTTAATGTGGATATTTGGATAACTTTTTTTTTCTATTACAAACAATGCACTATTGATGCTTTGTCCTCAGCTTGCCTTCTGCTCCCTCATGACTATGAACATTCTTACACATATTTCTTTAGGGGTGTGTGCATGTGTGTGTGGATAAAATTGCTGGGACATAGGATATGTATATCTCCCTCTTTTGTAGATATTGCTGAACTTCCTGCATACCTGATTCACATTTCTACCTAGAGTATATGATAATTTGCATTACTCCTCATTCTCACCAACACTTGGTATTTAATTTTTGCCAGTCTGGTAGGGATGTTAATGATAATTGCATAGTACTTTTATTTTGCATTGCCCTTATTTCTGGTGACATCTTTTCATATGCATGTCCATTTTCTGAGGTGGGGTGGTGTCTTATTTTTATCTTGGATATTTTGTCTTTTTCCTTACTGATTTATAACTGTATCTGTGATTATATGTGTGTGTGTATGTGTGTATGCTTTTTGTTTTTTATTTTTTCTGAATATGAATCTTTTTCATCATACGGGAAGCAAATATCTTTTCCGGGTTTATGACTTGTCTTTTCACCCTTTAGGTATCTATTGATAAACCAGTTCTCAGTTAAACATAGTCAAATGTATTAATTTTTTCTTTATAGGTAATGCTATTTGTTTCCTGTTTAAGACTTTTTTCCCTGCCCCAAGGTCATGAAGTCATTCTCCTATATGCTAAAATTTTTTTAGTTTTCTTGTCTTTCGTAAAACTACAGTTGACTTTTCTGTGTATCAGACTCCCTACTGAGCCTGATGCCGGGTCGCTCCCAGAACTCAGGGATCATGACCTAAGCTGAAGGCAGATGCTTAACTGGCTGAGCTACTCAGGCACCCCATTATTTCTTATTTGAATGGTAGAATTCACCAGTGAAGTCATCTGGGGTAGAATTTTCCTTGTGGGAAGATTTTTGATTGATTAAATTTTTTTGGATGATACTGGGACCATTCTGATTTTATTTTATTTTTTGAGGCAGTCCTGTCCTGTTTCTCCCCCTTGAGTTATGGTTTTTCTAGGAATTTTAAATTTATCTAAATTTTCAAATTTGTTGGCATAAAGTTCTTCATAATATAGCTGACCCTTGAACAGCACAGGTTTTTTTGTTTTTTAAATTTTATTACTATTTTTTATAGTAATCTCTATACCCACTATGGGACTCAAACTCATGGGCTCAAGTTCAGAAGTGCATGCTCTTTTGATTGAGCCAGCCAGGCGCCCCAAGTGGGCTGTTTTTTTTTTTCTTTCAAGTAGGCTCCGCGCCCAGTGTTGGGCTAAGTCGCATGTTTGGGGCGCCTGGGTGGCTCAGTCTGTGAAGTGCCCAACTCTTGATTTCAATTCAGGTCATGATCTCAGGGCTGTAAGATCTGAGCCCTGCATGGGGCTTGAGATACCACTCCCCCCGCCCCCCCCCACTCACTTGCCCACTCTTTCTCTAAAGAAAACCCTTAAAAAAAAAGGAAGGAAGAAAGAAAGAAAGTCATATACCCTACTGACTGAGCCAACCAGGTGTCCCAAACAGCACAGGTTTGAACTGTGTGGATATGTGGGGATTTTTTACAGTATAGCATGTAAACGTATTTTCCCCCATATTTTCTTAATATTTTCTTTTTTCTAGGTTACTTTATTGTAATAGTACAGTATGTAATACATATAACGTATAAGATATGTGTAATCGGCTATGTTATTGGTAAGACTTCTGGTCAACAGTAGGCTATTAGTAGTTAAGTGTTTGAGACTTTTTATAAGTTAACTATTGTTACTTCTGATGGTGCTCTTTGCCTTAAAGACTACTTTTTCGGGGCGCCTGGGTGGCTCAGTGGGTTAAACCGCTGCCTTCAGCTCAGGTCATGATCTCGGAGTCCTGGGATCGAGCCCCGCATCGGGCTCTCTGCTCAGCGGGGAGCCTGCTTCCTCCTCTCTCTCTGCCTGCCTCTCTGCCTGTTTGTGATCTCTCTGTCAAATAAATAAATAAATAAAATCTTTATTTAAAAAAAAAAAAAAGACTACTTTTTCTAATACTTTTATGAGACTGACACACTACCTACTCCACTGAGGCACCTTGTCTAATACTTTTAAAACTTACCAGCTTTCTTTGTTAGTATTTGTATGGTATGTATTTTTTTTTAATCTTTCTATTTTTACCTGTCCATGTCTGTAAACAGAAGATAATTGGGTTATTTTTTAGAATTTAGGCTTACAGTCTTTTTTTCTTTAACAGGAGCACTTTGTTCATTTATGTTTGATGTAATTAGTAATATATATGGGTTTAAATCTACCATATTATTTTGTCTTCCTATTTGTCCTCTTATATGTTTCATTTTTTCTTCCAAATTTTTGCCCTTTTTAAGTGTAATTTATTATTTCATTTTTTTCCTCCCTCAGGAAATTATATACTTTATTCTTTTAATTGTTACTTTACCAGTTACTGTATGCATCCTTATCTTATCAGAGCCCAAAGATAGTACCTTTATACTTGTCCTCAAGAAAATAGGATCTTAGAACTATTAACTCTGTACTAGGCCTTCTTCCCCATACTTGCTATTATTGTCATGCATTTTTGTTTTGTTTTTGTCAATCCACATAAGGCACTGTTACTGCTGTATTATACAGGCAAGGATATGTGAATTTATCCACATATTTATACTATCTTTGACCTTTTTATATTTCTGCTTCTCCATTTGTGGTCGTTTTCTTTCTTTCTGAAGTAAATCCTTTAGAACTCCTTTAGTATGGGTCTGCTGGTAGCTGACTGTGTTTTTGCGGGGGCGAGGGTGGAGGTATAAAAAAGCCTATTTTTTTTTTTTTTTTTTTCATTGTTAAAGGCATCTTGCTGGGGTGCCTGAGTGGCTCAGTTGGTCAGGCGTCTGCTTTCGGCTCGGGTCATGATCTCAGGGTCCTGGGATCGAGCCCCACATTGGGCTCCTTTCTCAGTGGGGAGCCTGCTTCCCCCTCTCCCTCTGCCTGCCTCTCTGCCTACTTGTGATCTCTCTGTCAAATAAATAAATTAAATAAAGTCTTTAAAAAAGGTGTTTTGCTGAATATAGAATTTTAGGTGGAAAGTTAAATTTATCATGTTGAAGCTCTCATTCTATATTTTGGCTCCCATTGTTTCTGTTGAGAAATCACTGTTAATCTGTTAATCTTTTGAAGCTAATTTGTCCTTTTTTGGTAACTTTTTAAGATTTTATTTATTTATTTGAGAGAGAGTGTGTGTGTGTGAGAGAGAGAGCATGAGAGGAGAGGGGAGAAGGTCAGAGGGAGAAGCAGACTTACTCAATCCTGGGTCTCCAGGATCATGACCTGAGCTGAAGGCAGATGCTTAACCAACTGAGCCACCCAGGTGCCCCATTTTTTGGTTACTTTTAAGATTTTGTATTTGTCTTTGATTTCTCTGTAGTTTCTCTTGGATGTATCTACGTGCATATTTCCCTTTCTGGTCTGCTTAGGCTTCTTAAATCTATGGATTAATATCTTTTATCTGTTTTGGAGAAGTGTCAGCTAGTATCTTTTCAGATAATGGCTCTGCTTTGTTCTTTCTCTCTTCTTTCTCATTAGAATTCCCATTGAATGTATATTAAAGCACAGTCATAATTTTGCCTCCCATGCTGCATTCTGTGTAGTTTTTTCTGATCTAGCTTAATTATTTCTCTCATGGTCTTGTCTCCTTTAAATTTTCCTATTGACTTCTTAGTTTGCTTTTGTTTTTGTATCTTCAGTTCTGTGAATTCCATTTGCTTAATTTTCAAATCTATTTTGTCCCTTGTTATTGTATTCGCTCCAGATGTTTTGAAGCTTGTCTTTTTTTTCTTTAAGCAAAGTAAATGCAATTGTTTTATAGTCTCTGTCCAGTCTAATAGCCACAGTCTCTTGAGGCTGCTTATTTTATTTTTTTTTCCTGACTTGTTCCGTTGATATTGCTTCATGGTCTTTTTTCCTCTTTATACTTAGTTATCTTGGTGTGTTGGTCATTGTACTTGAAAAAATTATTTGTTGGCTAGTTTGAGGCCTGTATGATGAAATGTTTCTCCAAAGATTTTCATTTGCTGCTGCAAGGCACGTAGGGGAGTGTGTAAATTCAGGATCTCCTTAATCCAAATTCAGGATCTCTTTAATCCTAATCCAAGACTTGAGGATTCTTGGTTCACTGTGTTAGTTAATATATGTGAACCCTGACTTAAGTCTGTGAGGGGGCTGATTTAATTCTAATCTAGCTTTACTCTGGGGGTATAACCTTTTGGGACTACACTTTTTAAAAAATCTGACCTTCCCACTTGGGCAGAGTCTTAGATTTGACTCAGCTAAAATTTCTCAGCTCTGTCTTTTGGACTGGCAAATGACCTCAGGGCAAAAGCAGATTTGGAGGCTGGGTTTACTTTGTGTTCTTGCTTTCTCTAGATCTTGGATTTCACTTTTATTGATGCTTTAGTGCTTGAAGGATTTTGTTTTAGTATATGTGCTGCCGAAGCGAGCACTGAAGGATTTTCTTTTAAAAAATATTTCAGTCAGCTTTATCATTTGATTTTAGCGGGAACTTGGCCTTTATCACAATAAGAAGCTGTTTCTTTTTTTTTAAATTAGAGGTATTTTTGCTTTGTTTTCTTATATGTTCTTTTCTCTGCATTATCTGTTTTATTCTAGGATTTTTTTTTTTAAATGAATTTTAGTTTTTCCTTTCATTTTGCAGTTTGCCCAGTAATTTTCATTCTGTTTAGGATTGAGGGAGTAAGAAGGCTGTTTGGAAGCTGTATATACATGGGAAGGTGGTTTTTTTTTTGCTTGGCACTGGGACTTGAGGTTGGGCAGAGGTGGGACCAGATGTTATGCTGGGGCCCTGAATGCCTTACTGTGGGGCGGTAGCATTTCAGAGGTTTCTCCAGTTCTGCAGATAATTTATTTAGTTTATTGGAAGAGAGCCATCTGATTTATTTTCCATTTAGTTTTAAATGTTTGTCCTTCTGGTAATGCTACAGGCTGGAAGGGATATAGGGAACTGGGGCCAACTATTTCTCATGTAGACCCTCAAGTCATTAATCCTTTCTAGCCTGTGCTGCTTTCTGTCGTTCCTGGTGTATGCATCTGCCTGGAGACTGTCCATGAGTCTCTTGGGCAGATGGGCTCCCACCTCTGCTGCTTCTTCTATTCATTCTAGGCTTATGTTTTTTTCCCTGCTCTATTTATAAACATACTTCAATCAGATTTCTGTTATTCAGCTTTTTGATGAAATCTCTTAATTACTGATGGGCCCCATTATTACTTATACTTTTTAAAACCTTATTTTCTTTTGAATGGAATCTTGGATGGGAGGACATACAAACTTGTGGGCTCAGTCTCCCATCTTGAACTTTCTCAGAAGATTATAAACTTTTTGCTTAGAAGACTTAATCTCATTTTTATTTTGTATCATGCTTTGTATGGAATTCTCAAGTGCTCATTAACTAACATGGCAACCTCTTTGCCCTTTTCCTACCTCTAATTCTAACTCTCTGGACCAGTATGCTTAATTCCCAGCTGCCCAATTTCCGTAGTGACATGTTTATCCTCTGAGATCTTTTGGATGGCTATTCCTCAAAATGAGTATTTTGGTCTTAGAGAACTGCCAGTACCAATGCAGTTTCCCCTTGAACTTTGCCCAGTCTGTTAAACTTATCCAGTTCTTGAGGCACCTTGCTTTATTTGTTGCTCTTTGTTTTTTTTGTTTTTGTTTTTTTTTAGGAACTTTGGATTGATGGCTGAGCTCGGCAGTTCTGTGAGCTTTCACCTGCATCCTCTGGCCAGCCCCTCTCCTGCAGGCCTCTGCCTTGAGGAACAGACTATTTGGAATATTGTACTTACATGCTTTTCCTGTTCTGCCATCATCTAAACTGGGATAAGCAGAGATCTCACCTGTTAGCTTTTCTTTACAAGGTCTTCCACTACTATGTCTTCCATTTCAGGCTTGGATGCAGCCTCTGTTGAGGCAGAGGAAAAGAAAATGACTTGTGTAGGTTGCCTAATGAATGATGAGGACCATAATAAAGGTCTCTGATCAGTTTCAACCTAGTGTGTTTTATAATCTTGCCTTTGTCCTTGCCATGATACTGGAGAGCCACCATGCCCAGTCACAGACCATCTGATCTTTCTTGCCAGCTGTTCTAAACCCCAGTCCTTTGATTTATATGCTTTTTCCCAATATGTCACCAGAATGTGATTTCAGAATTTATGGGATGTCACTTAAGGTTTTCAGAAGTTTAAATAAATGTGATCCTAGATTTAAAATCAGTTAAATTTTAATAGCTTTATTGAGATATAATGCACATACTATACAATTCACCCATTTAAAGTGTACATTTCAATAGTTTTTAGTGTACTTTAGTGTATTCACAGATATATGCAACACTACCACAGTTAATTTGAAAATATCTCCATATTAATGGAATCATAAGATCTGTCGTATTATGTATCTGGTATCTTTCACTTAGGTAATGTTTTCAGGGTTTGTTTATGTTATAGCATGTAGAAGTACCCATTCCTTTACTTTTAAATTGTGGTAAAACATATATAACCTAACATTTACTGTTTTAATTATTTTTAAGTGTACAGTTCTATGGCATCAAGTACATTCACATTACTGTGCAATCGTCACTGTCATCCATCTCCAGAACATTTTTCATCTTCTGAAACTGCAACTGTAGCCATTAAACAATAACTCCCAGCCTCCCCCCTTAGGTCCTGGCTAAATTTTGGTTTTTAAGGGAAGGTCTGGGTGATCTAGCAAGAGGGAGGCAAAGTACTTAGGAAAGTAGTTAAGGAGAGCACCAGGAAACTGACTGAAACACTTGACCATTTTTCGGATTCATCTGTGGCCATTGTTTGAAATGCCCATTTCTGGACCTTGCTACCCCAGGCCTAATAAATTAGAATCTCAGAGGGTGGAGCCCCAAGAATCTCTTAGTTTTTTCAAATAAATTTCCCCAAGTAATTTCCTTCCTACCACTTGTCCACAGACTACTGATCTACAGGAGGGCAGAGGGCAGTAAAGTATGAATGTAGAAAGTCTGGATTAGAAAGGAAGTCAAGGAAAATAACAACCACCACTCTTGAAGAAGTAAGAGGGGAGTACCAGATTTTGTAGGTCATCTGGTGAAGGTCATCAAGGAAAGGACTGGACACAACGGTGTGGAGAAAGATTCAAAACCAAAGAAGGGCCTCAGTGATAACTGTCAGCAAAGCTGTTGGTTGAATCTACTCAGTGTGATCTCTAGTATATCAACACTCCTTGTCTGTACAATCCTCATAATACATGGTGCCTGGTTCATGGGCCTCTCATGGGAGTCTGTTGAACTGATTCATCATTTATAAAGTAGCCATGTCTGGTAAAAAGTGGTTTGGAATGCTGGCATAAAGCCTTCAGGTGGCCTAGGAGTCCAGAGGCTCCTACATTCCTGGGCCAAAAGCAGCAGGGGGAGGCCGACTCTCCGAGCCCTTGGTGAAGGCAGCCACCCTTAGACCACCACTTCCTGGATGTGTTCTGTTCTGCTAGATCAGGTTGAGGCTGTGACAATTTTAGGGATTAACTCTGAGTTTCCTGAGAAATGACCATTACACTTTTCCTATGGATTCTGGCCCAGAAGCCTCCAGACTCTTTCTAAGCAGTGTATCCATCGCAATACAGAATTCTCGCTGCTCTTTGACTGCAGGTTGCTTGAACCTCAGAAACGTGTTGTTCCTGTTTGCAAGATCTGGTGAAATGTGACGGAAACAAGTGTGAGGCTCTGCATAGAAGTGTAAGATCAAAGCCCTTTGCTTATAATGATAAGCTCCAGTATGTGAGCGATGGTAGATCGCCCCAGGAATTTGGAGATAAGCTAGGAACATTGCCCCCTGAAAGTAGAACCTCTAAGTCAAACATTTCAGAGGCTGAATTGTTCCCAGACTCAACTAGATCTGATCAAATATATGAAGAAGAGTGTACCAGTCAGTAGAGGGCACTGGTTAGTCATGAAAGAGAAGAAGGAGTTCCAGAGACAAGTTGCTAGGCAGGGTAGCTTGAAACTTAGCCAGTGCTCAGAGTCCTACGGTCCCACTGATATGTTGTGTCAGCCTGTCCCATCAGGTGCCTTCCAGCACTGTAGTCCCATCCAACTCCCATTGTCCGTGGGGTCACTGTGGGATCTGGGCTCCTTCCATCTTACCGTTTTGTCATTGCCTTCTATATCTTACTGTCCAAGAGAACTTGCTGTGGTGATGGAAATATTCTCTGTCCACGTGTAGCCACATGTGGCTGTAATGTAGCCACCTGCCACAGTAGCCACTGAGCAGTTGAAATGTGGAGCTAAACCTAATTGTAATTTTTTTACTTTAAAAATTTATTTTGTTTCAAGTTTTTGTTTAAATTATAGTTGGTTAACACATAGTGTAATATTGGCTTTAGGAGTGTAAATTTTTTATTTTACTTCATGTAAATAGCCAGAAGTCTCAGCCACAGCATCTTCTCCCTGGAACTCTAAACTGTGGAACTGTGGGCGCAATAACGTTTTTAAGCCTTGGTGACAATAATAGTCGCTATTCCGTAAGGAGGGTCACAGAATAGTTGAAGTAAAACCCTCAGCACTGTGTGGGGCACATAGTACTAAGTCAACACTAGGTACTAGTTATGAAAGCTTTCGCCAACTAGTGTCTTCAGCAATGCTACTGAGCAGTGAAGCCGTTTTTATTCCAAACGTCGCTCACCTATGGTAACAAAAGCTCTAAATAAGAAATGAGGGCTCCACCAAGCACGCGTGAGGGAAATACCATAAAGAGATGTGTCTCCATATCAGCCATCAAGCTTCATTAATGAGAGTCTGCTTCTGAGGAAAAGGTTCATTTTGATGTGCTGACGATCCCAGGTTTCTTAGCCTGAGACATCCTCACTGAGCTTATTAATGTCAATGTGAAGGACCTCTTTGGAGATGCCAGGGAGCTGTTACCCAAGACAGACAACAAGCCCCTTTTGCTTTTTGCTCCCTAATTGAGTCTAGTACAGTGAGTGGAGAAAGACATGCTTTTACAAACGTGTCTGTGCCCATCATTTCATGGTGTTTTCTTGAGGCGTTGCTAATTAGCACATCTCTACCTTATTAGAGATGATAAATAGAGACCGACCAGGCCTCCTCTGGGCAGAGAGAGTTGTAGAAATCATCTGTCCTCATCTCAGGGATGTCACTTCAGAGTGGCACAAAGAGATCAAAGTTTGACTTTTTAAATTACACTAAAGTTAATGAACTTACTAAAGACTCTCAGTGCATTTTAAAGAAATGTGCCCTTTCAGAGCAAGAAACTGTGAAACTATTTCAAAATGATGGGCAATTGTATTGCTTATTTGCCTTACCTGCAAAAAGAAACTTTGCGCCTTTGGTGCTTTGGAATAGTAAAATACTTACCAGGTAAATGCTGGCTGAAAATCTTAGGGATAATTTCGGGGTTCCTCCTCATGCCACTGTTGCTGTATGGTGCAGCTAAAAGCAAGAAACCAAATTGTTTTTTCACCTAATTGTCATCCTTAACTGTGAATGACATGAATCACTGTTATTTCATGAAGCACGTTGTAAATATGAAAAGGTCTGTAAGTCAGAAGTGTGTCCTAATAGAGAAAAATGTCAGACATAACAGTTGGGGAGAGAAAATCCTGAAGAGCTCATTGTCATGGGAAACCCTCAAGCTCAGAGCATAAGATATAGACCGTGGCCTAATAGCAGACACTTAGACATAGGACAAGAGGAAACCCTAAGCCGGGGTGGCACTGGGAGACAGGAGAGGAGAGCAAATATGTCAGCAGGTGCCAGCAGATCAGTATTTGTGCTAATAAGGTTGAGTGAGGGCGCCTAGGTGGCTCAGTCATTAAGCGTCTGCCTTCAGCCCAGGTCATGATCCCAGGGTCCTGGGATTGAGTCCACATTGGGCTCCTTGCTGAGCAGGGAGACCGCTTCTCCCTCTATCCCTCCTCCCCTGCTCCTGATCTCTCTCTCTCACTCTCTAAGATAAACTGTATGTATATATATATATGTATATATATATATATATATATATTTTTTTTTTTTTTTAAAGGATGAGTGAGGTATTGATGGTGGTGTGCCCTAAGGTTCAGGAATGCAGCCTACGGGGCCTTGAGTGGCTGAACAGTCCTCCCCTCAGAGGATTTCACAAGGGGCTTCCTCTGTGTTAAGTTTCTGGAAAGGGCCTAGATTTATCTGAGGTTTGATTTCATCACTTTATATAGCTAGTGGTTCAGGAATGATGGTATGATCAGCCCTGAGGCAGGTGCCTGCTGAGGCTGGCAGGGGGAGCCGGGGGTCACAGTCTGGGATGGTTGGATGGTGCTCCTCCAGGTGGCACTAAGAAAAGCCTGCCCAGTATTCTGGAAGACAAGAGGAAACTGCAGGTGTGCCCCACTGATAATAAGAATTGTTACAGTGGATGTAAACTGGAGGGGAAATCCTGGGGCTGATCATGCCAAAGGCCAGGTCTGACCAGCTCTTCTGCTCGGAAGCCTCTGTGACTATTGGCCCTCGGGGTAGGGTCCGAGCTGCTTAGGTAGACTTTACAAGGTCTTCATGAGGTCTTTGTGCTGATCCACCTTGCCTGTCCCTCTGTGCTCCTCCTTGCCCTCCTTGGCTCCAGCCACCTCATTTCCTGAGGGAGCCGTGGTCTCTGTGGCTCAGTGGGTGCTGTTCCGTCTACCTGCTGTACATTTCTGCTCATCCTCTTCTTTCTGTTTGCTGGCCCAGTGTGGATGGCTCGGAAACTTTTCCTGGCTTTCCTCTAGGTGACAGTGGGTGCCCTTCCTCTATGGCTCTCACAGGGCCCATCTCTCCCCATCTTAAGGCTCATCATACTGCTGGAATCAGTGCTTGGTACCCTGTCTGTGTTCCCATTAGACGGCCTGCTCTGTGAGGAGGGACGGCGTCTGCCTGCCACTCTGTTCTGGCCTCAGTGCCCCCACTCTGGCTCTGGTATGAGACAGGTAAAAGATATGTTTGAAAAAATTGTGTTAAAATATTTATAGTTTAAAAAAGCGTATGTAAATCTATGATTACGATAAAACAAAGCAAAACAAAACCCTTAACAACACAGATGATCAATTCAAAAGTCTCATTCCCTTTAGTCCAGCTCCACCATTGAGCTCCCCATCCCTGTAGGGGTCCACTGTGACCAGTTTGCTGTGCTCGCCTGCCAATTTTGTATGTATGCTTGTTCATGCATATGTGATATTAAGGCAAAAAAGGGAAAAACCAAACCAT